AAAAAAAAAAAAAAAAAAAGAAATAATATATAAAAAAAATAATAATTTATTAATTATTTCTATACAAAGTATAGAAATAATTTTATTAACAATTTTATTATATAAAAAACACAACAATTAATAAAAAAATTTACATACCAATCTTCCAAAAATACCAGGAATTCTACCTTCGCTTTTCTCCTTCATTAAACTATCTATTATTTTGTTTTTTGATTTATTTGCTTGCATAGCGATTTTTTGTTCCTCGAATGAAATTTTCATTTTTTTTAATTCCGAAGTTATTTCAATCTCCTTTGTTTTCACTATTCTCAATTCTTTTTCCGCCGCTGTTAATTCTTGTTCATTATGAGAAATTTTATTTTTCAAACTTTGCAACTCTTCGTTTCGCGTCATTAAATTATCTGTTGTTAATTTTAAAGAATGTTTTAATTTTTCTAATTTTTCTTTTTCAGTTGATTCTATAGAAATATATAGTTCCAATTCGGATTGAGCAATATCAAACGCTGCTCGGGCTTCATCAACATCCTTTCTTAAAATTATCAATTCATTTTCAAGTACGGAACGTTGATCCAACAATGGTTTAGTCTTTTTACTTAATTCAACCATCAATTTTTCTAATATTATTTCTTCTTTTTCTTTATTTTTTATACGATCATCAACAAGTTTTTCATATTCTTGAATGTCTTTTGTATTTTTTTCTGGTACTTTATATAATTCTTCCAATTTAGATTTTTCCTATAAAGTATATTTAATTATTAACTTGTTAGAATTAATAAAATATACCTTAATTTTTTTTTAAAAATAAAAATAAAAATAAATAAAATAAATTTTACTGTTTTTAAAGATGCAATATTAGCTTTTCGTCTTTTATTTGTTTCTACTAATTCTGCATGAAGTGACTCATCGTGTTTTCGTATTTTATCAAATTTTGTTGTAATTTCATCCTTTTCTTTTTGTAAGTTATCCCATATTTTATTTTTCTCTGCGATCACTTTGTTTTTTTCTTCTTTATCATTATGAATTTCTTTCATTTTGTTTTTAAGTTCTGACAAATCTTTATCCAATTCGGTAATTTTATTTTCCTGTTGTGAAACTTCTTTTGTTGTTTCAAATCTGAAATAAAAAATTTTCCTCAAATAACTCAAATAATAAGAGTTTAATAAAATTTAAAAAATAAATGAATTACCTTTGATAAGAATAAAGTTGATGTTGTAATTTTGTAATTGTATTTTCTAATTGCAAGTATCGAATAGCTTCTTGCATAGGTTCCTCTAAAGCTGCTCTTTCTTTTTCAACAATTTTAAGACGATTTAACTTTTCTATTCTATATTCCGATAAAAGTTCTATCTTATTTGATAATTTTTCTAATGGTTCTTTGTAACGAACTGTTCCAATTATATCTTCCAAAAATTCAAGCATACCAGTATCATTTTCATGTTGAGCTTTAGGTTTCATCATTGCTATTTGTTCCACTTCTCCCTAATATTGTACATAATATTGTATAATATTGATATAATATTTATAAAATAATATAAAATTATAAGGGATTAACATTATTAAATATAATAAAATGCATACCTGTAAAATTAAAAAACGATTATGATCTAAATCTACACCGTAAAATCTCAAAATTTTTGCAATCTCTTTAAATTGCACTTTTTTCTTATTTAGTTCATAATATGATGAATTATCTTTAAATGCAGTTCGAGATATGACTATTTCACTATTTGGCACAATATCATACTCCATCTCTAACTGAAATATAATATTATCATTATTATATATTATTTATAATATTATTTATATTTAATAAAAAATAATTTATATAAATCATTTATTTTTTAATTAAAATATATCATACTTTATCAATTATTTGTTGGAAATATACAGATACTGTACAGCTATTAATATTTTGATGTTCACTTGAATTATGTATTAAAACTGATATCTTCTTAGATCGAATCTTAGAAGCTCTATAGCCAAATACAAATAACATTGAATCTATAACATTACTTTTACCACTACCATTTGGACCAACAATAGCTGAAAAACACTTTAAAAAGAAAAATTATTAAATATAATTTACAATTTTTATTAAAAATTTTATCAAAAATCATTTAATTTTTACCTGATGAAATGGACCAATAACTTGTGTACCTCCATAACTTTTAAAATTTTGATTAACAATCTTAGTAATCATTAATCTAGGACCATTGATATCAATTTTATTATTTTCTTTAAGAGGCGGTGGTATATATATATCATCATCTATTCTTATTCCACCTTCTTCGTCCTCTATATATAAATCATTTTCTTTATCAATCTCCATATCCGTATCAGGAATACTCATAATGATATAATTTTCTTCAACTGTTATTTCATCCACAATACAGAATCCATATAAAAATCTATAAGCTTATATTATAGAATATAATCATTATTATTATATAAAGGTTATGTACACAAATCAACATTTTAAAAAACAGAAATATATATTATATGGGGAATCATATAATTCTTACAAATTACTAATATAATCGAAGTAATTATATATGAATCAAGAAAATAAAATGAAAAATAATTTATATATATTTATATATATATATATATATTATTTTAATTCGGTAACTTACATTTAATGTTTCCATGGAAATTACAAATACACTCATATAAAATTTTAATTCATATTAAAATATATACATTTCACTATTATTTTCTTAACTATGTATATATATGTATATATGTATATTTATATTTATTTAGAAGAAATGATAAATAATTGCATATAAAAGAAACGAAATAAGAGGACGCCAATTCAAATTTAAATTCTAACGTATGCTAAATTGCCAATAGCAACATGATAATTTTTATTTATAATAAAGAGAAAATATTTATATTTAAAATAATTAAAATTATAAAAAAATATTATAAATGTAAATATGTATATCGTAATTTAAATTGAATTTAAAATATAATTTTAATTGCAAAATTTTCATATAAAATATTTGACTTATTTTGTATTTACCTTAATACATTTCGAAAGTAATGATGAATCTATAATTTTTGTGAATGTGAAATTATAAAAAATTTATCAATGCATATTACATATATATTATTACATATAACATTATTTCTAAAGAAATATCTATTTTCTGTAAAAATCTATTTAATAATATTTATTATGTTTCTTTTAATGAACTCTATTATCATATAAGATAATAAATATAACAATGGATATTATATGAATAATAATTACATATTTATATAAAAATAATTAAAATTAATGAAATTTCAATTCATGAATAGATTGGAATAAAAAGTATTTATATATCATTTTTGCATATAAAATATAATTTTTTTTTAAATTTTCTTAAAAATTATTATATTTTATCATGTATAAATTTAGTGGGTTTTTTTTTTTAATAAAATAAAATATAAAATTGATTTTATATTTTTTTTTTCTTTTATTTATATTAAAGATAAAACTGTATAGTATATATATGTATCTATTTAATATTTCTTAATATATATTTTCAAAATAGATTTTTATAATATCTAATATAATATTTTAAATATAATATGTAATACATTAGAAATATTAATATTCATATTATATATATTAAGATAATATTGAATTATATATTTGTATATTCCAATGTAATAAATAATTATTTATATTGTATTATAAAATTTCAAGTATAAAAACTATATACATTAACTTTATCGTTCGTACATATATATAAATATAATTTATTAATAGTACATTAATAGTAAATAATATTTTTACATCAATAATTATTATTTATTATATATAATGTGATAAACAAGGTATTATATTAAAGAAAAGATTTGTTTTGCAACAGACTCCGTGGCGCAACGGTAGCGCGTCTGACTCCAGATCAGAAGGTTGCGTGTTCAAATCACGTCGGGGTCAAATTTTTACTAATGTTTTTTTATTTTTTATTTCTTTAAAAAATTCATTTTTTAAAATATTGAAATTAATATGTATTTCAATTAAAACACAATAAATTAAATCTGATAAATAATAAAATAATTATATATATATAAATCTACAAATAAACTAAACATAATCAGTGTTTGTTTACATTTAATGCTGTGAATATATATCATATAAAATTCACTATAAAAATTTTAAAATAAATTTAAATTAATAATTGACAATAAAGTTAGTTGATTATTCTTTTAGAATATTAAGCATATGTTTATGAATTTGTATAAATAAATTTTGTTTGTTTTATACAAATAAACGCAAATAAAGTTAAAAAAAAAAACTAACTAGACATTTTTCTTTTTATCATATAATTAATCACATGTCAAATTTCACAAAATCAAAAGAAATGGGTAAAGAAATTGATTCCGATAATACTAAAAAGAGAAGAAAATCAGTTAGTGGAAATTCTGGTATATCTTTGAAAGATGGAGATACATATAAGGTAAAGAAATTATAAATAATAATTTATCTAAGTTTTAAAGTATTTATTTTTTTATATTTAGGTTATAATTAGTTATGAAGAGAAAGAAGCTATGGAACGTTTGCCAGAAAGTGATTCTGAGAGTTTTCTATCTACTTGCGATAATATACGTAGAGCTATGAATAAAATTGCAAAGTTAAAAACTAGTGGAGATACAAATGTTTGTATATTAATTAAAAAAAATAAATTCAGATATTGAATTTTTTTGAAAAATTAAATATAATTTGAAAAGTTTAAATTTAATATTTTTTAGGCTAAAGACGAAATACGTGAACTTCAAATTCAAACGTCATTAGCATTTATTGAACTTAAAAAATTAAATAGAATGGAAAAATTTCGTACAAAGTTTGCTAGAGATTCTCTTATATCTTCAAAAAGCAGTGTTGACAGTAGACATTTACATTTGCAAAACTTATTGTATGAAGTAATGCATTTAAAAAAGGAAGTTGTAAAATGTCTTCAGTTCAAGTAATTGTTATTTTGTTTCTTTAAAATTTTTCATATATGATTTTCATTTAATTTATATGATATATAATATATATTATTGTATAGATCTAAAGATGAATTAATACAACTTGTATCGGAAGAAGAATTTTATAAGGAAGCACCTGAAAATATTTCTAGACCGGTAGGAAATAGATTTTTAGGATAGATTATAGCTAAGTTTGTTTACAATATTATAAATTAAAATTTTTAGGAAATAACAAAACATAATCCTCATCAATTAAGATTGGCACGTCTTGAATGGGAATTGACACAAAGAAAACAATTAGCTGCATTATGTGATGAATTGACAGAAAATAAGAAGGCAGTAGCATCAAGTATTGCATTGAAACAGACTCGACTTGATAATCTTGCACCACAACTTCACTCAATATTAGAAGTAATTTTAATATTTTTAAAAAAATTATAGTTTATTATTCATAATTCATATTGTAATTAATCAATTTTTCTTTGTAAGGCAAGTAAACCATTACAAGAGAGTCTTGGTTTGCTACTGGATAAAGTTAGACAAGAACATAATAAAGCAACATTACTTGCATCACCTCTATATGTTCTTTATGCAAAGGCATCTGCATACAGAGATGCATATGGTATTACTTTTTCTTATTTTAAATATAAAAGATTTATATATATTTTTTAATTTATTTTCATATTATCCTTTTCTCTAGATAATTCTATAATAGTGAAAGTAGAAGGTGATGAAGAAGAAGCAAAACGTGCAAATAATCAAGATGGATTACAAGAATCTGATTCAGATGCTGAAACCATTTCTGAAAATATCATAGAAGAAACACCTGTACACAAGAAAAGACATCATAGGTTATCTAGAGAAGCCAGACAGGAAGAGAAAAGAACAAAACTATTACAAAGACATCCTTTAAATGTGAAAATAATTATTAAATTAAAAAGTTAGTTATAAAAAAATTGATAACTATAAAGTAAAACTAAACAATATTTTAAAACATTAATTTCTTTCAGATGAAACAAAATTGACGTTACAATTTTATTATATGATGTTTCTGAAAGTTGTAACTGTAGAATCAAAACTAAAAACTGATGGTGTTACAGGCATTGCTACAGGGTATATCACTTTTTATATATTACTAATATAAATTTTGTTATTTTTAAAATTCTTTATTCAAATTTTATTTTAATAGAGATATGCTTGTGTCAGAATCAATTTTACGTGAATTATATCCAGGAGATTTAGGATTAGAAAGTCCAAATCCTGCTAATTATTATCAATTAAATCGACATAATTTGGGTCAATTTTCATCTCTTGGATTAGGAATACCATACAAATGGGCACAAAGAATGGCTGGATTACACTTTATTTCGCCAGACGCTAGAGAACAAAAGGTATAAAATTTTTAATATGATACTATAGTGATGACAATATAATACATTATAATAATTTATCAAATTATTTTAAAATAATTTATATATTATTATTATGCAGCTTACGAGTTGCGAAAAAACACAAGATAGCGTTGAATGTGTATTAAGAGAAATTAAAAGACGTGTAATAGCAAGATTAGAATTATGCACAGAAATTCGACAGTTAGAATGTGGAAATTTACCAATTTTTACCACTAATAATGATCTTCTACCACAAAAGCTTAATGCAATTTTACAAAAATTCTCAACAATTTCATGGAGTAATTATTGCAATAGCGTAAATCCCATTTTTCAAGAACAGGGATTAGTATCTTCATTGGATATATTTTATGAAGCTATACTTCGTCGAGGAAATAGTAAGATATTATAAAATCTTTATATACATATATTTATTTTAGTAATTTATTTTAATAGTTTAATTTAATTTATATTTATTTTCTTTTTTTTCCAGATGAATTAATTGCTAGAATAGCTATAAAACCAGATTATCCAAAAATAGCACCAATATTTAATATAAGTATAAATCCTACAGTACCTGCATCTATAGATATTTTAAGAGATATTGAAAGAGAGGTAAATGTTACGTGGATAAAACCACCAACATTATCAGCACAACTTCAACGATTGCGAGCATGCTTTGATATTTATTTGGAATCAGAAACTATTGTACCAAAAGAAAAAATTTTCTTTCATCCTGTAAAAGGTCGTACTCGTGCTAGACCATATAAATATTTAGAATTAGGAGGTGGAATTTTTATTCATCGTTAATTTAATACAATACAAAATAATAATATGAATACATTTTAGTAAATATATTTTAATATAAATATTCTCATTCTAATATAAATATTATTTATTTTTATTTATAATTATTAAAAATGCGCGAGAATCCAAAAAAAATAAATGGATCATGATATGTTCTTGAAATTATTTT